ATTTGTTATGCAAATTAGTACTTAAAGAATATTATATATATATATATATATATATAGATAGATAGATAGATAGTAGAGAAGATATATAGAACGCATCTCGTACAATAGGGAATTATCTCGGCGATATCGCATTTCACGCCTCCAACATTTGCATGCGGGATTACGATGCCGGAGATTGCGAGAAAACGTCATTATTATTTCAATGATTTTTTTGATACAAAACGCTTTGCAATAAAGAAATGCCGTATAAATTACCGGACAAATTGCTGTACACGAGATAACAATAGATATTAAATAAATAATAAATAATACACTGCAATAATAAATAACAAATGACATTCTCTCAAAATTATTAAGTAAAGTCATTCGATTTTATTACGCAGCATCACTGGCAAGTATACATTACGATTAACCGATCAATTCGATCTGTGTCATTCCATGAATCGTAACTTTCTCAATTCGATATTACTTGTAAACGTTGCGATCGTAATTGGAGACGACAATAAACCGCAGACATGCGGCATCCAATTAATACATTCGTAATGATTGGATTTAACTGTAGAAACTCTATAATATTCAGCAGTCAGAATATCAGATCCAAATATATATTTGTTTTATCTTTTTTTGATATTAGATAACGTACATCACTAGCAAAAAACGGATATTATTCTGTTTCTTCTTTTTTAAAGATATAAATACCTTAGGAAAGTTGTTATGACCCGTTATCGATTACAGAATATCGTGTATGCTAAAGAAGATATGCGAAACATGCGCCGATATACGATATGAATATAATATGTCTCAAAAGCAAGCAATATCATCCGATATTTTCCCAAATTAATACGCAAAATTATGCCAGACAATATAACTCTATGCAACTGTTAACAGAATTACATAACATAACTGCAATGCATATTGTATGTAAATTCATTATTCGCAATTCTTCGGGCATAACGAACATATTATCTCATTAGCTTCCTTTATTAAAGACCGTTGATATCTTTATAAATTTATCATAATATAATAATAAGCTTAAATTGCTTTAAATAATAGAATTTAGGCTTTAAATTATAAGAATACACTCAAGGATAAACAATACATAGATATAGGCCGAGTACATGTTAACTAACAAACTACAATGAAACATAGCATTTCCTCGGCAAGCAAGATCTTGATTACTAAAGTTTTTAATATGAAATAAATTCATATTAATTATATATTATATTAATTATATATTATATAAAGATTTTAACACTCAAGAACAGTTCTTTTTTTGAAAAATTGAAATATTTTTATTTTTTGAACTGTGAATGAAAAGGATGTCAAAGAAAATAATGATATTTCTAAACTTGAAGATCTAATAAATAATCATTTTTAAAACAATTTTTAAATCTAAATTAAACTTTCGAAGATGCTTTAAGTTTTCATAATTTTATAAATGTATTTTTTTAAGATTTTTTAAAATCTCGAAAAAAAAATAAGATTTTGTTTATAGAATTTATTAATGTAACATAATTTCTTTATCGTTAATCGACCAATGACTTTTGTAACAGAATTTTTTACGAAGTTTGGAAATAGTGTCACTAATAAAAATAATGTTCTATCCTAATCACATAAGAACCAAAATACCTTATAATAAGAAAAACTGAACAGTATTATTGATTATATTTATTGAAAGAAGAAGAACATGATTTTGATTATGTACAAACTTGCGCACTAAATATGTGCGAATCTGTCAACAATAACATTTCATATTCACACATATTCATTTTTTTGCCAGAATTTAATCAAATAGCATATTACATGTTCGTTTTATGTTTATTTACATGTACGTCGAGTTTATAACAAAATCAATTTGTCTGTAAGTTAAGCGTAATAATTTCCTTGTCGACTAAGAAAACACGTGAGAAAAAACAAAAAGAGCACCAAGTAGTCATCAGTAATAATGCCGACGGATATTCTACTTCATAGCAGGAATTTCCACCTATAATCATAATATAATGAATCTAGTTAGATTTATACGCAGCATATGATTCTTTTCATATAACAATCGTTGTAGTAACGATATAATTTCATTTGGCATATTAAAAATACAAAACCGTGTATTGATATAGTTTGTATTGCGTTCTTTATACGTAATAACAAATAAATGTATTTGTGACACGCTACGTCAAAAACTTACTTGAAAATGATTGGTGACACCGTAATAAGGATACGCGTCAGTAAAGAAATAGCGAAAGTAACCATTATGTCTGATGCGATATTCGCCAGGTTTAACATCCTGCGGGATTTCCCATGTAATGGTCACCTGACTCGACTTCAGTGCCTTGGACGTTCGCTCCCATTGAAATCTAAAAACGCACATATATCCCATTGCGATTTATTATGTTATAAAAGGTACAGCTAAAAATGGTACAGCTAAAAGAAACAGAATTGCTTTTTATCTTCTAGATTGTGTCATATAATTTTGTGTTATATAATTTTATATATATATATATATATATATATATATATACGAACGGGTAAAA